CGCCAATTCGAAAACCCCGATAATACGAAGAATAATTGCTGCACCGACGTCTTCGAATTATCGGGGTTTGCCTTGTACCATGATGATAGCAGTGGCCAAGATTACATTGTGCATAAGAATTACCTTGTTCAGCAGCTTTTTTATACAATTCAACTGCCTTCTGTTCATTTTTTTCCACTCCAGTTCCACTTTGATAACACCAACCAAGGTTGTTTTGTGCCATAGAATGTCCATGCTTGACTGCTTCTCTATACAGGTTAATCGCTTTTTGCTCATCTTTTTCAACGCCGATTCCTTTTTGATAGCGATAACCAAGATCGCATTGTGCGTCATAATCAAAGGCTTCTTTGAACGAAGACATATTGATCGTACTATCGATATCAGCTAATTCAACTACTTATACTATCCCGTATGTTTCTAGCTAGAATAAATGTCTTCAATTTGGTACAGTCTTGTTAATGTAAGTAATGAAGGGTCGGACTAATCTTAACTGTATTAGTATTGCGTGCTTGCGTAATCGACTTTGTGGTACGAGACACGCGCATTTTAATTTATGCTAATTGATTTGTAATCACCGGGGTAACATTCGAAATTCTTTATTTGGACAAAAAATGACATATACCTCGCAAGGTTTCTATATAGTGTTTTTAGGCATTAAAACAACTCGAAAACTATTACTGGCTATTAAAAACTAAACTAAAACGAAGTACAAAGTACACTCACTGGCCAAAAATCTGTATTGCTCGTATTTAACATTAATATAAGATCGAAACCCATACTAATACGTACGTAACACTAATTTCTTTTCAAGTACTTCATTAATTAAGAGTAATAAAATTGTTTCAGAAGAAAAATATAAATCTGATACCCCTGCTGTTCCTGGTAAAACTTATGGTTCAGTGATCAAAACTAAGGTTAACGCTGACACCAATGATAAATCTTATACTAATACTAATGCCATTTATTTAAGTATTAGTATGGATTTTCAAGGTCAAATTTGAAAAATTCTTAAAAAAATTGATAATAATAGCTTCATGTCCTTGGCAGTGAAGTTATAAGTCAGAGGGTATCCAAGTTATTTATTGGTGTTCGTCAGCCTCTTAAAGCATAATCTGAAACATTATTTTATATTAATATTAATATGTATTATATTAATATATACACAACTGTATTTAAGAATTAGACATCTGATTGGTGGATTTTGTTAATTTATTTAATTATAGAAGAACGACCCCGACCTTTAGGTCGATCTTTACCCATATGTAGCGATTTTTTGGTCGATCTATATCTATAAATGGTTAGATCCGCGTCCGAGGTCGAAATCTCCCATAATATTCACTCAAAAAATGACAATGCAAGGGAGAAACGCAACATCCAAGAGTTGTATAACGTGATTGTCCAACATTAATACCTCATTCATAATCGGTGGTTCAGAATTGTCCGTAGACTTTGCACGTGAATGACCACGTCTACATTCAACGCACGTATACACGCAATCTCTCTCCTCTTCTTTTACGTGGTATATCCTAAGGAAGCTTCTCAAACCATCTCGTGGACTTGGTTTTTTCGCTTCTAAAGAAGTAAGGACACTTCACGCCACATTTCACACCAACTTTTCTTAGCTACTAGTCTGACAACGACCGAACGCGTTCTCCACTTCCAGCAAATCAACTCCAGCTCGCTGCATTTCTTTTACCTACAATGCAAACAATGAACGACGCCATCACTCTCATGTGCCTCGTGTTTGGCGAGACGTCCGACCGCGCCTTCTCGGTCGACATCAACAAGACCGCGACTGTCGGCCATCTCAAGGACCTGATAAAATTGAAGAAACAAAATGATTTCCGCGACATTGATGCAGACAAGCTCACACTCTTCCGCGTCTCTATCTCCATTGACAACGACATCGACCTTGATGAACTCGAAACACGCATGGATATCAATGACGAAACAAATGGCGTTCAGAAGCTCCACCCCGCGAAAAAGATTAGCACGGCTTTCCCCGATGAACCGGCTGGGGAACACATTCATATCATCGTCCAACCGCCGCCGCCTGCATATGCTGGTGAGTAATACATCAAATAGCCCCAAATTTACACAATAATATATTTAATCTTAAATGCTAGATCCATTTGCATCATATACCTCCAACATTACACATCCCCATAAAAAGCACAAAAGAGACATAGAAGAAGGTGAAAGTTGATCCATTGGCTTTACTCTGATATCTTTTGTTAAGCTTTATGACTATAACCCAATCCGTTTGACTGTCACCATTATTGTTTCTATATATTAAGTCTGTCAGATTTGCATATTTCGAATTTCCAAAAGAAAATCTTTTACCTTATTTTTTAAATAATTTGATTTTCGTTCAAGTTTGAATTTGTTTTTTGAAACGTTTACTAAAAGTTTTTTATCAATTGGGTAATTTTGTTTTTTGAAACGTGGACTTTGTCGAACTCGTTTTTAGTTTTTTTGTGTTTTTTATTTCGTTTTTTATTTCGTTTTTTATTTCGTTTTTTATTTCGTTTTTTATTTCGTTTTTTATTTCGTTTTTTATTTCGTTTT